TCAACAATCAACTTATCCCTCTTATTTCATTACGTGGTAGTAATGAAACTCTCTAATATACCAATAATGTGATATTGTATATTGTAATTTTCTTCATGTTGGTATATTACTTCCCTACTAGACTCTAAGCTCCATAAGGACAGGGACTATGACTCAACCTCTGTGACTCCCTCAGCAGCCTGGCACAATGCTCTGCACAAAGTAGGCACTTTACACTTGTTGAATGAATAAATGAATGAATATGGAAAATAGACCTCAAGTTCTAAAAAATGGACTTTAAAATTGGGGACTGCTTGTACCGGAAATTTAAAACATGGACCTGTAATTGTAATAATATAATGGATACATACACACACACATATATATACATACATATACATCTAATTAAAATGAATTATCAAGTATAGTTATACTTTCAAATTTTAGTTAGATGATAAAATCTTTCCTAAATCAGAAAAAAAATTTTTAAAGGGCTTACTTTAATTTTTCAAAGTTCTCTGGCTCCAAACTCCATATTTCTTCTACTTGCGCTCCTCGACAACCTAAAATAAGTGAAAACATTTTTTCAGAAAATTTATATTTGCTTATGAAGATTAAAGATACAAATACTTATTTTAAAATAAGATTCAAATTATGTATGCTTTATTTCATTGTACAACATTATCCTCATTTACAATTTTCACTGAAGTTGGTGGTGATGAAAGTTGCCAGATTTCTAAAATTATTTCACAGCACTAACCAAGTTTCTTTCTCTTTCATAAAATGGAAAAGCTAAATACTTTTTTTCTATTAATATTAATACATGTAACAAATAAAAGTATAAAATTATTTTTAAAAAATAATTTTTTATTAAACATCCTGTTGAACTTAACCATCTTACCAAACTACCTCAACTCCTTGTGACAGAACAGGTTTCTTATTTTGGTAGGAATTATGCATAATACAGTTCTCCACTAAATGTAACTAAATATTCTACTTCTGCCTTGGAAGCAGCTGAGTAAAGAGCTATCAAAAAGTACTGAGAGGTTGGCCTGAAAAATAGATTCAGAGGTTTGACTGTTCTGGATGCTAGAAGAAACTGAAATGATATACAAGTACTCCAGGAAGATAGACTCTTGCACCACATGACCATAAGGAAAAGAAAGACAAGGTACTTACTATATTAGAACATAATGATAGAAGACTAACTTTGCCAGAGTAGAATCAGTCCTAACAACTTGTCAGTGAATATACTTCATCCAACACAAATAAGTAAGAGGTCAGGGGTGAAGACAGCTTCTAGGGTGTGGACTCATGGATACCTCCAGGAAGAACGAATAAGTCCAGTTGCAAAGTGCAGAACAGCTAAAGTTCAGGGGAGCTGAAAAGTGTCTTCCTTATCCAGAGGCCAAGACAGAGCAAGAACAGGAGAGACTTTTCGAGTTAATAAGCTCACAAAAAAAGTTAATAATGCTGAGAAAGAAGACTGAAAAACAAGATTTTTAGAGAGAGTGAAGCTCCCACCAGACTTAGAAGTGGTACCAACCCTCTGGCCAATAGTTTGAGTATGTTTGACTATCAAAACTGACCCACCTGACAGGGACCAAACCAAATGCCAATCTTCTCCAGAAAGCATTCTGTTATTATTCATCAAAAATGATCTTGTCAAAAAGTTGAGAAAGCGTACTTCCCTTCCCTCTTCGTAGAAGCAGTGGTGTGAAAGGGGGAAGGGTATTTATAGACTATTACATATATTGTCATGACTAATATATTGATTTTGTTGAAGTACTTTCTTTTCAAAAAAAGTCTTTATTACTAAGGGTGGCTAGTGGAAAGGAGTGGGATATATTTGGAAATGAATGTGATAAAAATATCAATAAAAAATTTTTCATGTGATCTCACTTTAGATGATATACCACAGTTATTTGTGTATATGCATCTCCCTTATGAGATGTTTTAATTAGCTTGAGGGTAGGAATGTTTTATACTTTAATGGCCCTCCTACCCCTGGCATACAGCTTCTCAATAGTATGTTATGCACTCAATTTGTCAAAGGAATAAATTTTTAGAACATATTTAATGTATGAAATGAAGTACACCAGTATTAGCAAATTACTTGATTCTTAAGTCTCAAATTTTTCTAGCTCCAACTTAATGACCTCTAAAAGCCATTACTGTTTTTCACAAAGTGAAAACTGAACAATTAAAAGTATAACAGTCAATGTCTTGGAAATTAAAGATTTTAATTTATGGATAAATATCATCTCATTCAAGAAGGCAAAAGAACAGACACTACCTGGTATCAGTATGAGAAATTTAACCTTAGCACAAGGGATCAAATTAACAGCTAAGAATACAGCCTCAAGAAAGAGACAACATGTTGGAAAATAAATTTGCAGTACAAAGAAAAGTGTTACAAAGAAATAACACACATAACGTGCTGAATTCAAACACTCCAACAAGCTCCAGCTTTACTAAGCTTCTGCTATGTGCAAGTGACTATGCTAAGCCCTGAAGTTACACAGAAGAAAAAAACAGTCCTGAACCTTGAAGGAACTTATAATCTGCTAAGGGATACAAATAAATCAGACAAGTAATATAAGGCTAGGTGAGGGGCCAGAAAGCACTAGCAATGAGTGGGATCAGAAAAAAATTTCAGACAGGTGTCATATGACTTTGAGACTTGAAGGAAAAACAGGTTCCAAAGGGTGGAGGTGAGGAGGAAGAACAATCAAAGTCTTGTGCAATGACAAACACAAAAGAAAAAATGCTGAATTTGAGGAACAGTTTGACTCAAACATAAGAATGTTACAGGGAATTTCTCTATTAATAATGGATTAAGAAATACACTTGTAAAGGAAGGCTCTCTAGATTGTAATGTATTTAAAATGCCAACTTGACAAATCTGTATTTTATGATACAGGAAATAACCACAATGTTATTGAGAAAGGGATTAGTATGATGACTTGAGCTTTATTCTATATGCATGGAATATGCATGGAATTCTCCCTTCTTACTTACTTACACCTTTTGCCTTCCTGGTTTCCTTTAATACTCAGTTCAAATCCCACCTTCTATAACAGGCTTGCCCAGATTCCCTCAGCTGTCAGTGCCTTCTGAGATAACCTTCCACCTCTCTCTCTCTCTCTCTATACTGGACATGTCCAGTTACTTAAATGTCCCTTCCTCCACTAGAATGTGAGCTTCTTGAAGGCAGAGGCCATATTTTTGCTTTTCCTTGAATTACCAGTGTTTAGTAGGATGACTGACACACAGTAAGCCTTTAATCAAATACTGCCATCTGACCTGCTGTTTTCTTCTTCACATCCCCAGCATTTAAAAGTCAATTCTATACTTCTGTCATAGCTAAATTCAAATTCTGCCTCAGACATTAACTGTGTGACCCTGGGCAAAACCCCTAACCCTCCTCAGCTTTAGTTTCCTAATCTGTAAAATGAGGATAATAGCATCTATTTCCCAGGACTGTTGTACTTTGCAAACCTTAAAACACTATACAAATGCCTGATGTTATTTTTAGTATAACCTAATTGTCACTTTATTTTTCCTAATGGACAATAGAACTAAAACTTTTAAAAAGCAGTAAATACTTGTTGATGATAGCTAGAATTTACATAGCACTTTAAGGTTTGCAAAGCACTTTAAATATTATTTCATTTTACCCTAACAAAAATGGAAGGCTGGTGCTATTATTATCCCACTTTACAGGTGAGGAAACTGCAGTAGGCAGGTTAAGTGACTTGTCTTCCTAACTCCACTGTGCCACCTAGCTGACCGAATGTTTTAAAGGAAGGGTATTTTGCAAGTTTTATGGGAAGGTGGATAGAAGACTGGAGAGTCATGGAATCCTGAATCCAACTGAGGCTATTAAACATAACCCAAAAGAGAGGTGACGAGTGCCAGATAGGGTGTTGAAGACGTGAGGCTGGAGAGCTCATTGCTTTCTGCAGGGGTTGGAAGGAAAACTTTTTTTTTTCCAGGGGCAGGAATATCACTTTCTCCCTGGAAACCAAGTTGGCCACGAGGCCTTGCATCACAAGCAGGAGGAAGAGGAAAGGGGCGGGGTAGCAGGAGGGCTCAAAGTCAGTACCAAAGGTAGTTTCCCCAGAAAGTCTAAAGGGGGCAGCTTCAGGCCGTAAGGAGTCGGCTCAGGCTCCCTCGGGGCGTGGGCCCCTCCTGCGAGCAGGTCCCCGGACTCGTTTTGCCTGCAGCCCTGGGGGGTTCGGGGGCGGTCCCTGGCCCGGAGTGAGAAGAGACAAGGGGGGAAAAGGGACCTGCCAGGGGTGGGGGGGAGGAGGAGTCGCCGCCGCGGACCTTGCTCCTGCCCTGGGCGGGGAGCGGGAGGGTGTCCCGGAGGAGCCCTCGCTCGGTCCTCGCCCCTAGCTGAAGCTTCGGGTCAAGCCCACGCCGGGTCCGGGGGCCACGGCCTCCGCCGCCGCCGCCGCCGCCTCCTCCTGGTTTCTTCCCAGGCTCCAGAAGCTACGCGGTGCCCTCCGCTCTCACCGAATCCTTTAATGAGTTCAGTGAAGACCCCAGGGTCGCTCTCCATGAGGCACCACTCCCCGGCGCTGCCCGCCATGGCCCCAGCCGCTCCTCTCCTCTCCTGTCTCACCGCCTCTCAACTCCCGGCCGCCGCTTGCAGCCGCCTCCGCCCAACACCAGCGGGCAGACCCCGAGCACGGCAAATCCGCCGCGGCTGCCCTCCACCCCACGTCACTGCGCCTCCTTCCCGACAACCTTCGGGGCTCCCGTCACCTGAGCCGCCACAGCCTGCAAAAAGGCCGCTCTAGCCTTGAACAAGGAAACGAGGACTAATTGAAGAGCGGCCCCTTTCACGACCCGTAGCCGCCCGAGAAGGAGGGGGAGGGATTCTGGGTACGAGGGTGAGCAAAAAGAGGTAACATCCGGGATCCTCGAAAGAGGCGTAGCGGTGGAAGGGGAGGAACGGAATCTGGTCGGGGAAGGGAAAGCAGCTGCCCCTGCCTCAATTGCTGCTTCCCACGGAGGCCAGCCTCAGCCGGGCGCCCCTACGCGGAGCCGCCTGCCCTAAGGGACTCCCTCCGACTCTGTGCGGCTGCGCTCAGGTGAGGAAGCTCCAGGAGGCGGTTCCCCCCCGGAGGAGCTTTGTGCGGTCTGAGCGAACCCCCTGGGACCCGCGCGCCTCTGTCTGCTCCTCTTGGCGGCAGCCTGGCTTCCCGGGGCGGCCCGTGGGCGGTGGCTGTCCGTAGATAAGCGGATCTAGATCTTCGGCGTGGTGAGGAAGCTGCCCTGGGGCCGAGCCAGGGTCTCCCCTCGAGATGCTGCGCTGCCGTGGGCACTGCCCGCCCCTTCCCGGGCTTCCCGCGGCGGTCATGGCCGCTGATGTCCCTGCGGGAGGGGGCAATCACCCTCCCCACCCCACTCCTTTCCTGCGGGCGCCGCCATTCCGAGATTAGGGAAGGAGGCGGGGGGAGAGATGGAGCCACGGCTTTGTCCGAGGCCCAGGAGGGATTGGCTGGCTGTGCGGCCTTCCGGATCGGAGCTTCCCGAGGGTGCGGCGCCGCTAGTGCGCGTCTTCTGACTTAAGGACTTGCCTTAGAACGGATGGCGAGTGGAGGTGATGGAGCGGTCTGTTCAAAAAAAGGTGGGGGTGGGGGTGCAGTTTTACTGACTCATTCAAGCCCTTACGACTATTATGTCTCCATAGGAGAGGTTAAAAGCGAAGCAACAGAAAGAACGGTCTGATGTGTCCTTCCTTTAAAGTTATCCACACAGTCCTTATTCTAAAGAGCCTGGAGAAAGGCTTGAGGAGAAAGGCCTCTTTCCTTGCAAAGACTGAATTATGAATCTTTAAAATGTCTTGAAGTTACCTCTAGTGTAACACTACTTTAGTGAGTCAGCCTTAAAAATAACGGGGTGTTCCAAAAGTCTTAATGCCATTCTAAGCTTTAGTAGTTTAAAGTAATAGTAGCAGTTACAGTATTTACCTTGCGCAACCCTGGGTGGTAGGTGTTAGTCCATTTTTACAGGTGAGAAAGTAGACAAGTTAAGTGACTAAATAGACAAGGGTGAATAAGGTAGGATTTGAACTAAGTAAGACTCAGAGTCCATCTCTCTCTATACACCTGTGCTGTAGATCTTCGCCAAGACTTTTGAGACCCCCTGTGCTTGGTTTGTGTGTGTGTGTGTGTGTGTGTGTGTGTGTGTGTGATTTAGAAGACATATAAAATATTTCTAGGGCAATAATTGGAGCATTGAACCAGAAGTTAAGAAGAACGGAATTTAAATCCTGCCTCAGACCTGAGAGTCAACTAGCCATGTGAACTGGGAAAGTCACAGAGCCTTTGTTTGCCTCAGTTTCCTCTGTAGAATGATTATAATAGTACCTACCTCACCTGGGTGTTGTGAGGTTCAAATGAGATAATATTTGTAAAGCTCTGCAAACCTTAAAGGGCTATATAAATGCTAGCCAACTATTACTATGCGTAAAGCGCTATGGGTGTGGTATTATTAAATTGTAAACTACAGAGACATCAGGATTTGTACAGTAGCCTGGCCAGGTGGATAGAGAGTTAGGCTTAGAGTCAAGAAAATATTCATTCACAAACTGTTTCTGATACTGGTATTGTGACTCTGGGCAAGTCATTAAATCTCGATGGAGCCTAAGCAGCTACCTAAGATTTAGTTTGTGCTATTGTAATTCTTGCTGCTTCTCTCTGAGGATATCTCCAAATTATCTTACGTATATTTTGTTTGTACATAGTCCTAAACTAAAGAGTTTGAAACAAGTTCATTGTGTGTATTGTATTTACTGTGATCGATAAATACCTATATTTTGCATTTACATGAAAAATAAGTGAGTGGACTAAAACTACGTAGAACTTTGATTATGCAGAATATTAATCACATTAGAAAAATCCTAGTAATTAGATTCATCTTAGGGCATTTTGTTTTTAGTCATCATCTAAAAAAAACCAATTTCAAGCACTTTATCAGTTTCTTTTAAAAAAGGGCGGACCAGCTAGGTGGCACAGTAGATAGAGTCAGTAGGACCTGAGTTCAAGTGCAGGCCTCAGACACATAACACTCACTAGCTGTGTGACTCTGGGCAAGTCACTTAACTCCAATTGCTTCACCAAAAAATTTTTTAAAAAATTAAAGCAAAACAAAAACGAGTTTCTCTAGAGTGAAAATCCATACTAGCTCCCTGAAGTGATGCAGTAGTTAGAATAGCTAAATTATTTATATTGTAAGGCCAACTCCATAGAAGAATTAATCACTTTGCTATTTTAAACAAATCTTTTTCTGATTATACATGAGTAAGTTATCTAATTACAGGATTACCCATGTTGTCCACTCTACCTTCGTATTGCCTCTGTTCTTTCACTGCCCCAGTCTATCCTGGCCTGCTGATAATGAGGCTAACCAGACAAGGTAGAGAAGCATTACCTAGAGCTGGGGAGTAACAGCCTGGGATTAAAAAATGGCCATGAATAATCCACTCACTGGTAAATCCACGAAAAGATTACTGATGACTTATTGTATGTTTCTTTCTTAGTGACTTAATTTTTTTATTTCGTATTTAAAGGATAGTGTTCTTGTTTTTACCAAATTGGTAACTTTTTAATAATAGTCAAACTGAATAGGTCATCCAGAGGACTATGAATAATGTTATTCACTCCTTGCTTACTTAAGAGGTAAGGGACCAGGGCAGCTAGGTGGATAGAGCACCCGCTCTGAAGTCAGGAGGACTTGAGTTAAAATGTGGCCTCAGAAATATAACACTCACTAGCTGTGTGACTCTGGACAAGTCACTTGACCCCGATTGCCTCACTTAAAAAAATAAGGAGGGGGCTGAAAGTGTAGGTAGAGGTATAACATTTTCAGATATGGTCAGTAGTTGAATTTGTTTGCGTAATTATGCTTATTCTTTTTTAAAAGTTTGGGTTTGGAGAGTGGGGGTGATTGAAAGAGACTATAGTGATGCCAACAAAAAGAAAGAGGAGGATCATTGTAGCATCTTTTATAAAGATCCACAGAAGAAAGTTTGGAGGGAGGACAACTTCAAAAATAATATGTTCAATTCATTTTACTGTTTTGAAAAGAAATGCAAGCTGTACATAATGGAATTCTGTGGTTTTACATATAATCCTCTGCCTATATTCTTTGTATATGGAAATGCTTACATTTTTCAATTTCAGAAGAATGAAAATAAAATTTAAAAAAAATTTTAAAAACTAAATAGGTAAGAATTTTATCCTGGCCCTACCATTAATTATGTGATCTGTTATATGACCGTTCTCTACCCTGGCTAGCCATAAAAGTATGTAAATAGCTAAGAGCTGTTAGCATCATTGCTAAAAAATGATGAAATATGCTTATCCTACTAATTATGCCCAGTAAGGTCATATGCAGAAAGATAGCACATTTTAATGGTCCCTAACTGAGTAAAGAAAACTCACTTTTGGGGCAGCTAGGTGGCTCAGTGGATAGAGCACTGGCCCTGAAATCAGGAGGACCTGAGTTCAAATGGGGCCTCAGCCCAAACACTTGACACTTACTAGCTGTGTGACCCTAGGCAAGTCACTTAACCCCAATTGCCTAAAAAAAAAGAAAACTCAGTTTAGCCTTATGGAAAGGGGAAAAGAACAGGCATTTATCGGGCACCTCATTGGATCATCACAACAACCCTGAAGGGTATATGCTAGTATTTTTCCCCATTTTAGAGTTGAGGAAATTTGAGTCTGACAGAAGTTAAGTGACTTGATCATAATCACACAGCAAGTGAATATCCGAGACTGGATTTGAACTCAAGTCTTTCTGACTCCAGGCCCAGCACTATTCACTGCATCACCTTGTTCTTTTATGATATTAAATAATTATGTCCACCTCAGGCATAGATGAGAGAATATAATACTTAAAAAACTCATGATTCTAGGTGAGACAAAAGTTAACAAGTATCAGTCATGGAAATTTAGAACTAGATTACCCAAAAAATACTAGTGTTTGTGTGTAAATATTGTATACTCAGATGGCATTTCTTTTGCTTAGTTTTTGTAACTTGTACTTTGTGAATGTTATCTCAATATATTCGCCTTTTTATAGATGTTTTGCATGAACTACATAATTCACAGTCAGATTGTTTTATCCATATCTGATTCTTCCTGAGATAATATATTTTCAACATTCCAACATACATAAATGTATTTTAACATATATAAATGTATAGTTTATAACTTGACAGAGATCGAAGGCTTAAGCCTAATTTTCAAAAGAAATGTTATCTAAAAAGCCTGAATAATTTATTAACAGGGTACATAATTTAGAATCAGCCCAGAAATTAAGTTCTTATTTCTTTGGTATCAAAAGTTTTCTTAGTAGATATAGTAAGAAATTAGTTGTTAAATATGATTCCTTTTTAGAAGAAGAGATTTGGCTAGTAATTCCTTATCTTAATTTATTCAGATTTTCTTTTATGTTTTTTCTTTTTTTTTGGTATACAAAATTTTATTTTTTACAGAGGGGTGTCATTCTTATGTTATTGCCTAGCTCACTACCAGGGTATTTATATATGATTAATACATACAATTAATGGATAATTATAATACAATAAATGTAGAACTACCAAAGAACTGAGATATTTTGTACATATCACTTATTTGCATATCTTTCTAAGGTAGATGAGGCAGATAACATAGAGGCAGCATGGTACGCTGTCAAAAGATCTAGTTTTGAATCCCACTTCTGTTACTAGTTATGTATATGATCTTGGACAGGACATCTTCTCTGGGCCTCAATTTCTTTATTTTAAAATGAGGAGGTTGGATTAGATGGCCTCTAAGATCCCTTACTAAATCTGTGATCCTATGACAAACATATAAAAACAAAGATTAAATTGATAGGAATTAGACTATTAGCTCAGATATCACAGTGTTCTTATTCTGACATCACATGAAGGGTAACCCTGGGTTCTTAAAATATGCATAGTACAAGCTTTGGGAGGTTTGATGGTGCTGGAATGGCTTTAAGTAAGTTCCTGACAATAGACCGTTTATGTTTCCCAAGAATTATTCTAGCTAAATGTGGTAAAGCTAATCCCTAGTATGTTAAATCACCAGGTGAGGAATTCTTTTGGCCATGGGAACCTTAAAAAAAAAACCCAACTGATTCATATAAAACCTACTTTTACAGTAGATTCCTGAGGGAATTGTAAGTAACACAACATGACTCAGTAGGAAAAAAAAGTTTTCTAAGGAACTTAAGGAAATGTGAAGATCAAAAAGTAAAATGGTATATTGCAGATTTAAAAAAATAGTGGGAGTAACAGGGCAGGTTGACATTGTGGGGAATATAAAGGTATTTAAAGATGGAAAATGTACGGAAGATAGCTAAATGGTAGCATGGTGGAAAGGGAAGTAGGAGATGGTAAGAATCATAATTTTTAGGTATGATGGATTTGAATCTTGCCTTTGAATATATGGCTGTAACAGTTGGAAAAGTTTTCTGTTAAAGAACTATACTTTTTTCCTTTCTTAAGAATATTTTTTTTAAAAAAGTACTTTTTAATTGAGAGACTTTTAAAATAAGGAGTTAATATTTTAAAAGATAACCAAATTTTTGTCTTAATAATGTATAGCTGTATTTTAAAATGAGTTTAAAGTTCCTTTTTAAAAAAAGATTGCCAAAGAACTGGAAACAAAGATACCTATCATTTGATAAATGGATAAATAAATTGTGGTGCATTATTGTAATGAAATGTTACTGTCATAAAAAATGACAATGAATATAGAGAATCACGAGATGTGAACTATTAGTAATGAAGCAAGCAGAACCTGGAAAACAGTATGTACAATGACTGTAGCAACCTAAACAGAACAACAACAAAAATGAAGGTAGATGACTGAACTTGGCCCTAAAGAAGAAATGAGAAAATGTACTACCTTCCATTTGCAGTGGTGGAAGAGTGGTCTTTGCATGGGCTGTTGGACTCAGATGAGATGCTGATTACTTTTGCTGAACTGGTTTTTTTTTTCCCCCTTTTTCTTGTTACAGGAGATGGTTCTGTAGGTAAGGGCAGGGGAAGGGATATATTTGGAAATGAAGATGATATAAAAGGAAAACTTTTTTTCTTGACGAGGTTATCAAAGGCATTTACCAACTCCTTTTTTCCCTAGTACTCTAGTTTGTCAAACTGTTGCTACCAAGGTAATTTTGATTTCACCAGCAAAGTACTGATCCCTATGATTCTATTTGTATGGTTTCCTGGAATGCAGTTACCTCTCCCCTATGTTTTTTGCTTAATTCTACAGTACCATTTATAAGTAACCTCCAGAATCATCAGTTGGTATTTGTTATGTTGCTTTTTATATCATATATATTGGAGCTGGAAGGGACCTTTTAAGTCATCAAACCCAACCCTCTCAGTAGAGACAGGTAAGTGGAGCAGTAGATAAAGTGCTCAACTTGATGTTAGGAAGGACCTAAGTTTAAATCTAGCCTCAGCCTTTTGTTATAATTCTGTGACCCTGGGTAGGTCATGTAGCAGAATACACAATGACTGTTATATTGTAAATAGAAAAAACAACAACAAAAATGAAACTGAATGGTAAATAATTATATTGACTGAAGTTGGCTCCTAAGAAAAAATAAATGAGAAAATGAATCATCTTCCCTTCTTCCTTGGTGGGAGACTGTGAGTGTGGATCATTGCATATACTATTGTACTCAGTTAATATTTCAGTTAGTTTTGCTAAACTGCTTCCCTCCCCCCCCCTTACTAGCTTGATAACCCTGGCAAGTCAAACAATTAGTAACTGGCTCTCCCAGCCTTAGTTTTCTCATCTATAAAATGGGGATAATAATAGCACATGTCTGAGAGGATGGTTGTAAGGATCAAATGAGAAACCACAAAAAGTTTGCAAATCTTGAAGTGCTATATAAATGCCAGCTATCATCATTATCATTATTTTTGCAAATGAAGTTACTGAGACTACAAGAAGTTAAGCAGCTTGTCCAAGTTCCCACAAGGGAAGATTTGCGCACAAATCCTCTGACACAAAACCCAGTATTCTTCTGTGCCATGCTGCTGACGTATGTGCTTTGGATGTTCACGCACAGGTATTCTACCTCTCCTGCAAGATTACAACCTGAAGAACAGACATGTTATTCCAAGGAAAAGCTTAAAAGATTTTCCAGTAAACCAGCAAAACTTGTTGTAAGCGGAATTTGGTACAGTAACAGTTTGGTTTGATTAAGGAATTTGTAAAGACTCTTGGAGTTGATTGTAATAGAATTTAAACTTCATTTCTTTTATGTGCTTCCATATGCTTAGTATTATTGCTATATAAATATTCATGTTCAAGGAATAATTATGCTGACTTGGGAGCTATTGTGTGTTTCTATTTTTGCATAATACACTCAGCTACAGCATTGTGTAGTAAGAAGAGTACTGGGTTTAGAGTTAGATAATTGTAGATTTCTAGAGGAAAGGGACCTTTAAATTATCCTTCCTCATTTTATAGTTGAGGAAATAGGCCTGGACATGTTAAATTATTTTTCCAGAATAATGCAGGAAGTAAGTGGCAGAGCCATGATTTGAACCCAGATTCTGTAACTCGTTCCCTAAATGTATGGATCACTCATTCTACTGCAGCATTTAAAATAAAAAATGAAGAAGTTGGACTAGATGGAACACTAAGGTTCCTTCCAGTTCTATATCTAAGAACCTATGATTATAAAACAGGAATTTTTATTAGAATATATTATAAAGAAACATACTGAGACCATAGAAAAAGGATTATTTTTGACAAGTGACCTTTAAAATGAGTTTTGAAGAGTAAAAAATTCTAAGAAAGTTTGAAGCAGGTGAGTTAAGTAGCATTTATTAAGTGCTTTCTATGTGCCAGGCACAAATACAGTCTATACCTTGAAGGAGTTCACATTCTAATGGAGAAGACAAATGTAAAATAGAAGGTATGTACAGAGTAAAGGGAAGGTAATCTCCTGGGAAAGGCAGGTGTCCTAACCAATTTCTTTCAAGTACCTGCTTATCTAAAGCAAAGATAGCTTTCAATGTCAAGGTTATCCACCTCTGTTGATTCAGTTTCACTGTTGATACAATAATATGCTTATTTTTATTAGGCATTACAATCCAATAAGAGCTAGAAGAAAAGGGCTTTAAAACAAATAACTTATGCTTCTAGTGCTCCCATCTCCCACATAATGGTCAGACAACATATTTAGAAATTCAGCACATTTATTGAGCCCCCACTGGGTGCCTAACAGTGTCAGAAACAGTCAGCTCCCATTGTATGATGACCAGCTTTGATAGACTTAACTTTTCCAACAATGCAATGATTTAAGACAATTCCAAGGGATTCCTGATGGAAAATACTGACCATATCCAGAGAAAGAACTGTGAAGTCTGAATGCACATCAAAGCATACTATTTTTTTCTTTGTTGTGGTTTTTCCCTTTTCTGATTCTTTCATGACGTGACTAATACAGAAGTATGATTGTACATATATAGCCCATATGCTGTCTGGAAGGGGTGGGGCGGAAAATACTTGGAGTTCAAAATATTGTAAAAGTGAATTTTGAACACTGTCTTTGCATGTAATTGGAAAAAATGATATTAAGTAGGGCGGAAGAAAAGAAAAGTCAGCTCTACTTAATCTTTTTTTTTAAAAAAATCATTCTAAGGCAGAGGTTATTAACCTTTTGTGTGTGTATAGTTATGGATTCCTTTGGCAGTCTGGTGAGGCTGGAAATTTCCACGTCTGTAAAATGGGGACAATAATAGTGCCTACCTCAGTCCTTGCTGATGCTTGAAGTGGTTCTGCTGTATACTATGGCTTCACTGTTTTCTTTGAAGTGTTTTAAGTTCCCAGAATGTACTGATACGTAAATGCAAATAAGCAAGAATTGAAAGTACTTCGTATGTCTTAGTTTTGCTGTTTTATATTCCAGTGGTAACATTGTGGTCTTCTTGGCAGGTTTCCCAAAAAAATAAAGCAATGGAGGAATCTATAAGCCAAATGCAACCGCTGAATGAAAAACAGGTGACCAATTCTGCCAGTGGCTATGTTTGGCAGGTCACAGACATGAATCGACTACACCGTTTCTTATGTTTTGGTTCTGAAGGTGGTACTTACTACATCAAAGAGCAGAAATTGGGCCTTCAAAATGCTGAAGCTTTAATTAGACTGATTGAAGATGGCAAAGGATGTGATGTGATACAGGAAATAAAGACTTTTAGTCAAGAAGGGAGAACAGCAAAGCAAGAGCCAATACTTTTTGCTCTTGCCATTTGCTCGCAGTGTTCTGATATAAACACAAAACAAGCAGCATTTAAAGCAGTTTCTGAAGTATGTCGAATACCTACTCACCTCTTCACTTTCATTCAATTTAAAAAAGATCTAAAGGAAAGCATGAAATGTGGTATGTGGGGTCGTGCTCTCAGAAAAGCTGTAGCGGACTGGTACACTGGGAAAAGTGGCATGGCTCTTGCTCTGGCTATTACAAAATATAAACAAAGAAATGGCTGGTCACACAAAGATCTTTTAAGATTGTCTCATCTTAAACCTTCTAATGAAGGTAAGACTCATGTTTCATTTTTAGTATCTTTTTAATTTTCTGTCTTAATGAAGCAAGCAATAGCCCGGGAAAGTCTTATACTTTTATTAGGCGTGGAAATGTGTAAGAATAAGAAGAAAACTTTTTAGAGCTGTATTGAAAAAAACAAGGAAGGTCAAAAAGTAGGATTGTTCCTGAGTAGATGAAACTTTGATGACAGAAACAAAAAAGTAATGTAGCTGTTTGACTCTTATCATGCTTCTGTTTGCCAAGGAGAAGCTTTTGGATTGGAAAAGACAAAAAAAAGGGTTAAATGGTTAGAGAATGAGCTTGTGATTTTATTGATAAGGAATCCTAGACGATGTAACTACTTCTCTGCAGCTTACAGTCTAGAACACTAAGAGTTAAGTGATTTGTCCATGGTCACATAGTGTGTGTGTGTGTGTGTGTGTGTGTGTGTGTGTGTGCGCGCGTGTGCGCACGTGCATCTTAGACCTAGGTCTTGTTAGCTTCAAGGCTTAACTCTATTGACTATACTGTGCTGTGAAGATAAATTGGTAGATAGCAAGAGAGCACTTAGCTCTCCCTTACTTTCTTCCCCTTGTTGAATGGTTGAAATCACATGGCCCAAACACCAGAATTCCAGAATATTTAAAGAACTAAAGGCTATTACTGCTATTAGTAGTTTTTGAAAGCTCCTGGAATATAGGAGAAATGCTGTGGTATGAAGCAGGGCACATACTACATTTTTCACAAAAGGGCAGAATATATAGTTGGCAAACTTTTAGCCAGTGAGTTTGAGTTTAATCCTTGCAAAATTACATAATATATTGTTAAAGACATAGTGACTACATAGGAAAGGAAGTAGTGATCACAAAGGATCACCATGGCTTCATCAAGAAACAGGTAATGCTAAACTCACCCCATTTCCTTTTTGATGGGGTTACTATAATGGTAGATGATAGAAATGCTTTTTTAGAGAATTACAGATTTAAACATTGAAGAAACCTTAAAGGTCATCTTATTTATCCCCTTTGTTTTTACAGATGAAGATGAGGGCCAGAGAAATAATAAATTCCTGAACCAGAATTCAAACCCAGGTCCTCTGACTACAAATCCAATATTCTTTCCACTATACCATGCTGCCTCCCAGTAGTTTACCTATGCAACGTGATAGTCTTTATGCTATTCTTGTGGAAAAGATGGAGATGTAGCATAGGTATGGTTAATAATAATATAATGATAAATGTTTTTTATATAGCTTTTTAAGGCTTAGAAAGCACTTTATATATGTTATCTCATTTACTTAGATGTATTCATAACTTGTACTAACCAGACCTAAAGAGTAGTCATTTGTGTTCGATGTCAGTTTGGAAAGAGGTCTCTCCAGGTGGGATCTATTCTGCTTCACAGGTTTAGTCTTAACCCTGTTAAGGGTTAAGTACAGGTGTCTTAGACTTGGGTTAAAAAATCCTTGTTAGCAATAGTAACCTGATGTGAAAGCTTAACATGAGGTGACAGAGTGATTTTTCAACAACAAAAATGGCCACCTTAAGAGTCATAGGGTCCATGTCTAGATACTGTACCCCCATACTTCCTTCCCCCTATTCTCGGCACGCCCCCCCCCCCAAACTCCCTCAAGGAAGAGGAACTTGTTTGTTCTACTTGACTTTGGAGGGAAGAACTAGGAACAATGGCTAGAAATTTAGGAGAGACAGATTTAGGCTCAATTACAGGAAAAGCTTTCTAACAGCTATTTGAAAGTAGAATGGAGCTGCCAAAGGGTTGGGGGTCACTGGAGGTCATCAAATTAAAAACTGGTTAAACATTTATAAGGTATGTAACAGAGGGGGATTTGTCTCCAGGTAAATAGTTGAGCTAGATGTTCCGAACCCAAGATTCTGTGATTTGAGTCTTCTTATTCTACACACTGTCTATTCACCACTTTTTCCAGTCCAGTTTTCATTCTACTGTTAGAGTAGATTTGGTTCCTGTTTCTGAGTAAAGTTCTTATTCCTGTTCCTGGCGTCAGAGATTTCCACAATATAGTAAACTTGTACTTCACCATATTTGTTTCATATACTTCTTCCACATATTCTACATAACACTCCCGCCAAATAAGATAAATCACTGTCCACCATAAACATCCATCACTTCTCTGCCTCTGAACCTTTCCTCTGGCTTTTTCCTAAAACTAGAACGCCTTTTCTCTTTTGCCTAGCATACCTTTCACCTTGAAGTCCTGCTTATTTCTTTTTTTTTTTAACTTAATTTTCGTACATTTTACATTCCAGACTGTCTGCCTCTCTCCCCAACCACACTAGAAAAGGCCACCATTTAAAGATACAGCGAGGGTGCATATGTGTATATATGTGTGTAAAACCATCCTATGCATATTTCTGTTTATCACTTCTTTCTCTGGAGGTAGATAGCATCTTCTTTCATAGATTCTTTGTAGTTGATTTGAGTATAATATTCATACTAGCTTAGTCATTCACAGTTATTCTTTGAAAAATATTGCTGTTGCTGTGTACAGTGTTCTCTTGGTTCTGCTCATTTTGCTCTTCATTATTTCATGCAAAACTTCCCATGTTTTTCTAAAATCAACCTCATCATTTCTTATAGCACAGTAGTATTCCATCATAATCATATACCACAACTTGTTCGGTCACTTCCTAATTGATGGGCATTCCCTTCCATTTCCAGTTCTTTGCCACCACAAAGAGAGCTGCTATAAATATTTAGAACATATAGGTTCTTTTCCTTTTTCCCTGATCACCTTGGGAAACAGATCTAATAGTAGTATTGTTGGGTCAAAGGTCATACACAGTTTATTTAACTCTTTGGGCATAGTTCCAGATTTTTCTCCAAAATGGTTGGATCATTTCACAGTGCCACCAGCAGTGTATTAGCGTCACAATTTTTCCACGTCCCCTCAACATTTGTCATTTTCTCCTTCCATCATTTTAGCGAATCTGATAGGTATGAAATGACATCTCAAAGTTGTTTTAATTACCATTTCTCTAATTGACAATGATTTAGAGCATTTTTTGTATGACTATAAACTGTTTTGATTTCTTCCTCCAAAAACTACCTGTTCTTATCCTTTGATCATTTATCAGTTGGGGAATGACTCATATTCTTACAAACTTGACAAAGTTCTCTATATATTTGAGATATAAGACCTTTATCTGAGAAACTGTCTATAAATTCCCCCCCAATTTTCTGTTTTCCTTTTAATCTTGGCTACATTGATTTTATTTGTACAAAACCTTTTTAATTTAATATAGTCAAAATTAACCATTTTGCATCTCACGGTACTCTTATCTCTTCATAAATTCTGTTCATAAGTCTAATAGATAATATGTTTTATATTCTTCTGATTTGCTTATGCCCTTTATGTCTAGGTCATGTATCCATTTTGACCTCATCTTGGTAAATGGTGTAATTTATTGGTCTATACCTAGTTTTTGTCAGCCTGTTTTCCAGTTTTCCCAGCATTTTTTACCAGATAGTAAAATTCTTATCCCAAAAGCCTAAATTTTAAATTTGTCAAACGTGCTGTGAATATGGGAATGACTTAAACAAATTCTCACTTTAAGGAAAATCACTTTGGTAACTGTGTGGAGGATAGATTGAAATAGGAAGAAACTTAAGGCAAGGAGCTCAATAAGGCTCTTGCCTTAGTCTAGTGAGCACAGGATGATATGGCCCTGAAATAAGGTGATAGTTTTAAGTTTAGAAAGAAGGGAACAAATGCAGTAAATGATGTGGAGATAGAAATTTATGATTATTTTTGCTATATATGCTGAGAGGAAGTGAAGAAATCAAGAATAATACTGAGACTGAACCTGGGAAACGAAAAAATAGTGGTTCTCTTGACAGAAATAGAGAAGTTTGGTAGAGGGGTAGTTTTGGGCAGAAAATTTCTTCAGGATGTATCCCTGGAAGATCTAGTTTGAAATGTCCAATAGGCAGCTGGTGATGAGAAATTATAGCTCAGGAGGGAAATTAGGGTTAGATTGGTAGATCTGCAAGCCATCTTCATAGAAATGATAAGTTTATGGAAACATCTATTTACCAGTAGGGAGAGTGATAAAATGGGGGCAGGTACCCAGATTTCCTTAATCATGGTCAACTATTACTTCCAGTGCTGCAAGCTATAATTGTGGGGAGAACATTATAAAAGATGATATGTAAACTTATTTTAATTATATCATTGAGAAAATACAATCCTGTCTTGATTAAAAAAATGATATTTATTCAAATGGCAATTTTCACCTATTAGAAAATAGGAATATTGGAACACTGTGGAGCCAAGATGGTGAACTAGGGGCAGCAACCAACTGAACAGTACAAACATTTATCTCCAACCAACTTTAGTGCCTCAGATCAAATTTTGGAGTGGCAGAGCTGATAAAAGGCTAGAGGGAAACATATGTCAAGCCTAAGACAACTTACAGGATCCACAGAAGAGGTCTGTAGGGTGGGTTCAGGCCCTGAGCATGGCTGGAATACAAATAGTGTACTTGGAGATGTTTTGACAGCAGCAGCAGTAGCTTTGAGAGCTCTCAGACCACAGACAATAAGAAAATAGCTCCTTAAAAAGTGGGACTGGCCACGTGGAAAAGGAAGTAAAAAACAAACTGAAGAAAATAACTCCTTAAAAATTAGAATTGGACAAGTGGAAGTTAATGACTCCATGAAACATCAAGAATCAAACAAAATCAAAGTAATGAAAAAAATAGAAGACAGTGTGAAGTATCATATTGGAAAAACTGACCTGGAAATTAGGTCCAAGAGAGATTATTTAAGAATTATTGGACTACTTGAAAGCCATGATCAAAAAAAGGACCTAGACATCATCTTTCAAGAAATTAACCAAAGAAAACTTCCCTGATATCCTAAGACCAGAGGGTAAAATAGACTTTGAACATTGTAGCCAAATTCCAGAAATCCCAGGTCAAGGGGAAAAAAGCACATTGCAGGCAGCCAGAAAGAAACAATTAGAATATTGTGGAGCCATAGTCAGGATTACACAGGACTTACAGCTTCTACGTTAAAGCATTGCTAAGTTGTTTGCATCTGTACATGGAAGGTAATCTTAAGAACTATATCACTATTAGTGCAATTAGAAGGAGTATACATAGAGTGCGGGTGTAAGGTGACTTTGATAGGATGATATCCAAAAAGTTAATAAGGGGTGAGAAAGAAATGCACTGGGAGAAGGGGAAAAGGAGAGGTAGAATGAGATAAATTATTTCATATCAGGAGGCACGAAAGACCTATTACAGTGGAAGGAAAGATGGGGGTGGAGTGGGCAGTGGGTGTCACTTGAATGTTACTCTCATTGGAATTGGTTCAAAGAGGAAATAAAATACACAATTAGTTGGGTATAAAAATGTATCTTTCCATATAGGGAAGTAGGAGGGGAGAAAGTTAAGGTGGTGGGGCTTACAGAAGGGAAGGCAGATTGGGGGAGGCAGTAGTCAGAGGCAAAACACTGGTGAGTAGGGGAAGGGTGAAAGGAGAAAGAGAAAGGTAAACAGAAGGAAAAAGATCAGGGGGAAATACACAGTCATAACTGAATGTGAATGGGATGAGCTCACCTATAAAATGGAAGTGGATAGCAGAGCAGGATTAAAAACCTGAATTCTACAATATGTTTACAGGAAACACACTTGAAGAAGAGAGACACAGTAAAGGTAAGGGGATGGAGCAGAATCTATTATGCTTCAGCTGAAGTAAAAAAAAATAGCAATTATGATCTCAGACAAAGCAAAAATAGATATAATTAAGAGATAAAGAAGGAAACTCCATCTTTCTAAAAGGTACCATAGACAATGAAATAATACCAGTTCTAAACATATGCCTCAAGTGGTATAGCATCCAAATTCTTAAGGGAGAAGTTAAATGGGTTACTGGAGGAAATAGGAAAACTATACTAGTGGAGAACTTCAACTTTCCCATCTCGGAACTAGATAAATCTAACCACAAAGTATACAAGAAAGAAGGCCATAAATAAAATTTTAGAAAAGTTAAATATGATATACTTCTTTAGAAACTTGAATGGGGATAGAGAATCAAATTTTTTTTCTCAGTGGTACAAAACACCTACACAAAAACTGACCCTGTATTAGGGCATAAAAATCTCAATCAAATGTAGAAAAGCAGAAATACTAAATGCATCATTTTCAGAACATAATGCAATAAAAATTATTCAAAAGAGGGAAGTGGAAAGTTACATTAAAAATTAATTGGAAACTAATCCTAAAGAATAACTGGGTTAACGGGAAAAAAATCGTAGAAACAATTTCAGTAAAGAGAATGATGACAGACAACATACGAAATTGATGGGATGGAGCCAAAGCAGTACTTGGAGGAAATTTTATTTCTCTAAACTCTTACATTAGTAAAGTAGAGAAAGAGCAGATTGGTGGATTGGACATACAACTCAAAAAATGAGAAAAGGACAAATTAAAAATCCCCAATTAAGCACCAAACTGGAAATCCTGAAAACCGAAGGAGAGATAAGTAAAATTGAAAGTGGTAAAGACTATTGAGCTAATAAAACTAGAAACTGGTTTTATAAAGGAAAAGAAAAGAGAAAAAAACATTAGTTTGATTAAAAAAAAATTACCAATACAAAAATGAAAAGGGTGAATTCACCACCAGTGAAAAGGAAATTAAAGCAATTATTAGGAAATATTTAGCCCAATTATATGCCAGTAAATCTGACAATCTAACCAAAATGAATATTTACAAAAATATAAATTGTCTAGATTAACCAAAGAGGAAATTGAATACTTCATCTTAGAAAAAGAAATTAAATAAGCCTTCAGTGATCTCCCTAAGAAAAAATCCCCAGGGCCAAATGGGTTCGCAAGTGAATTCTACCAAACATTTAAAGAACAATTAATTCCAGTACTATATAAACTATTTGAAAAAAAATAGGCAAAAGAGTCCTACCAAATTCCTTTTATGATACAGATATGGTGCTGATACCTAAAGCAGAAAGAAAACTACAGACCAATTTACCCAATGAATATTGGAAAATATAAAGTATTAAAAATGTAAAAATATTTGAAATTGTTAATTTAAATTTAAATGTTAAAATATTTTAACATTTAAATAAAGTACTAGCAGTGAAATTATAGTATTATGTCATAAGCATCCTGCACTATGACCAGGTGAGATTTATACCGGGAATGCAGGGCTAGTTTACTATTAGGAAAACTCAGCAAAACTGACTATCAGTAACAAAACCAACAGAAATTATATGATTTTTCTCATCAGATGCAGAAAGAGCTTTTGATAAAATACAGCAACCATTCCTGTTAAAAACATTAGAGAACATAAGAATAAGTGAAGCTTTCCTTAAAATAAGTAGTCTATCCAAAACTATCAACGAGCATTATCTGTGATGGGGATAAGCTAGAAGACTTCCCAGTAAAATCAGGAGTAAAGCAAGGATGCTCATTATCACCCCTATTATTCACTATTGTATTGGAAATATTAGCTATAGCAGTAAGAGAAGAAAAAGAAATTGAAGAAATTAGGATAGGCAATGAGGAAACAACTATCACTCTTTGCAGAGGATATGATGGTATACTTAGAGAATCAACCAAAAAACCAAAAAAAGGTAATCACAGTTACCATTTTACATCTCATAAAGGTATTTATTCTCTTGTTTGGTCAAATAGTGAGTTCATAACTCCCCCAACAGTGCATTAGCATCCCGATCTTCCCATATACTCTCCAACACTTATCATTTTCCTTTTCTGTCATATTACCTTAAAGGTTTTACACAAATTCATTGCAACAAAAAGTAGAAGGAAAGCAGAAATTTGGGAAACAATTTTTACAGCAAGTATCTGGTAAAGGCTTCATTTCTCAAAAGATATGAACAGACAGTTTTCAGATGAAATCAAAGCTGTCTATAGTCATAAGAAAATGACTCTAAGTCAGTATTGACTAGAGAAATCCAAATTAAAACAACAACTCTGATGTACCACCTCACACTTTTTAGATTGGGTAATAAGACAGAAAAGGAAAATGATAAGTGTTGAAGAGTATATGGGAAGATTGGGATGCTAATGCACTGTTGAGGGAGTTATGAACTAATCCGACCATTGTGGAGAACAATTTGGAGCTATGCTCAATGGGCACCAATACCACTAGTAGGTCTTTCGGTCTGTTTCTTCTACAGCATGACTGATGTGGAAATATGTTTTACATGATTGCAACATATAACCTATATCAAATTGCTTACCATCTTAGGAGAGGGAGGTGAGAGAGGGAGGGAAAAAATTTGGATTTATAAAAATTTTAAGTGACTGTTAAAAGTTGTCTTTACATGTAATTGAAAAAATAAAATGCTTGAAAAAAAGCAAGTACTTGGTTTTTTTTAAACAAAGAGCAAAAATAGGTCTAATTAGAAGATAAGCTGGGAAACTTGCTGAAAGGTATTATAGACAATGAATAGCAAAAATTTTTGCAGCAAGTTTCTCTGATAAGGCCTCATTATTCAAATATGTACTGGGCATAGAACTGAGTCAGATATATAAAAATAAGGGCCATTCCTCAGTTGATAAATGATCAAAGGATATGAACAGTCAGTTTCAGAAGAAATTAAAGTTGTCTGTAGTCATATATGCTCTAAATAAATCAGTATTGACTAAAGAAAGTAAAACAACTCTGAGGTACCAGTTCACACCTATCAGAAATGACAAATGCTTGAGCAGATAAGTCCATTAATAAATTGTTGGTGGAGTAGTGAGCTGGTCCATCCTTTATCTGAAACTATGCCTAAATAGTTATAAAGTTGTACATACCTTTTGATCCAGGAATATCATTCATCTTTAAGCACACGTCTGACCATGCTATCCCCTCAGTGTCTTCATTCAGTAAATTCCATTAGCTTTCTATTTCCTATCATGCCAAACTTCTATAATAGAGCTATTTAAGATAGGCAAGGTAGAGGAAAAAATTCTTTAAACTGATTTTAAGCCCTTGAATATTTGAATTTATTTATCTTCAGTTGCTAATCTTCTTTGTAGGTAAAAATACAAGATAACATCTTTTTGAGGGTCTCTGTTATTGATCTCTTTGTGCAAGCATTCATTTATTCCTATGTCAGTCTTAGATTCACATACTATCTATAATTTTCTCATTTTCTTAAAGGACTTGCTGTTGTGACCAAATATGTTACAAAGGGTTGGAAGGAGGTACAGGAAGCCTATAAAGATAAGGCACTTTCCCCAGAGATAGAAAAATTACTGAAATACCTGGAAGCTGTGGAGAGAGTGAAGCACACAAAAGATGAATTAGAAGTGATTCATCTCATAGAAGAGCATAAATTGGTTAGGGAACATCTTCTGACTAATCATCTAACGTCTAAAGAAGTAAGTAAATCAGTTTCTTAGAATGATTTACTCTCATTTTTATGTGTTCAAACTTAAGTATTCACATCATTAACATTAATACTATTGTCAGTGTAAGTATAAGTGGATGGATGCTTTTCTCTCATTTCTTTATGTCTATTTATATAAATGTAACAGGTGTGGAAAGCCTTGTTACAGGAGATGCCTCTAACTGCATTGCTGAGGAATCTAGGGAAGATGACAGCTAATTCAGTGCTTGAGCCAGGAAGTTCAGAAGTTTCTTCAGTATGTGAAAGACTATGTAATGATAAACTTTTGAAAAAGGTAAGAATTATTAAAACTGAATTCTTTTTGACTGACCGTAAAAATGTGTATGTGTTAGATGTTAAACTCCCTGAGTGGAGTATCTGTGTTTTTAATCTGTGATTCTAAGTGGGCATACACCCAGGTCAGCCCTTCTGATACTACTTTATTCTGTGGTTCTATGTCTGTTTAAAGGAATGAAGGGAGAGATAGCAATTACTGGACACATTTTCATTGCTATAGGTAACTTCCAAGTGAGGAAACTCCATCTACTAATGTAGGTCCACACCTTCTCTGCAGCTTAGAATCTTAGAACTTTGCCTAGAGCAGAAGTGTCAGACAGTGTGGGCCACGTGGCCTACACATGACAAAGTGAACCAGATTAAAATGTAACTGGAAAATATTTAAGAAAATACAATGAAACATAAATGACATTGCATTTTAAAACTAGATCAATTGTGCCACTTTATGTCGGCAGTAGGGGCCTCTATTTCCATTTGAGTTTGAACCATTAGCCTAGAGCCCTGAGAGGTTAAGTGATTCCCCTAGTCACACAGCCAGTATGTGTCAGAGATGGGATTTGAACCCAGACCTTCATGGTTTGAGGTCAGCTCTCTGTACTGCACCATGCTACTAGATGGCACAGTGGTTAGAGTGCTAGGCCTGGAGTCAGAAAGACCCCACTTCAAATCCATCCTCACACACTTAATAGTTGTGTGACCTTAGGTGAGTCACTTAATAGCTATTTGCCTCAGTTTCTTCAACTGCAAAATAGAGATAATATTAATACCTACTTCCCAGGGTAGTTGTGAGGATCAAGTGAGGTAGTCTTTGTAAAGCATTTAGCACAATGTCTGGCACACAGTAGGTGCTAAAGGTTAGCTATTTTAAAAAATTTATTTATTTTTAGTTTTCAACATTCACTTCCATAAGATTGAGTTTTAAATTTTCTCCCTTTTTCTCCTCTTTCCCCTCCCCAAGATGGCATGAAATCTGATATAGAGTCTACATATACATTCATACTAAACATATTTTCACATCAGTCATATTGTGAAAAAGAATTAGAACCAATGGGAGGAGGCATGAGAAAAAAGAAACAAAACAAACAAAAAAAAGAGTGCAAGTAGTCTGCTTCCATCTGCATTCAGACTCCAGAGTTCTTTCTCTGGAAGTGGATAGCATTTTCTATCATGACTCTTTTGGAGACTGTTAGCTGTTTTTATTGTTGTTGTTCTTGTTTGCGTGCGCGCGTGTGCACACACACACACATACATACATAGCTCCTTGAGTGCAGAGACTTTGACTTATTCATATTTATTACTTGTCAACTCCAAATGCCTAGTTTTATAGACACATTTTTCATAACACTTTACCTGGCTCTTCTTTGCCGCTATTACATTCTTTGTCGTTGTTGTTTAGTCATCTTCAGTCATGTCCAACTCTTTGTGACCGCTTTTGAGATTTTCTTTGGCAAAGGTATTAGAGTGGTTTTCCAGTTCCTTCTCTAGATCATTTTAGAGATGAAGAAACTGAGGCAAATAGAGTTAAGTTACTTGCCTAAGGTCTCACAGCTAGTTAAGTGTCTGAGGCCAAATTTGAGCTCAAGTCTTCCTGATTCCAGATCCAGCACTCAGTCCACTGCACCATCTAGCTACTATTACATTCTACATTGTATTATATTAATATACACATTGTATTCTCACCCATCCACTCCTTTCCCCCATCCACCTCACTCCCACTTAAGTTCCTTGAGGGGAGGGAGTTCATTCCAAATAAATAAACAAATAGATTCACTTATCTGAAGCACTGATTTAAAATTAAAGAGGAATGCATAATCTTAATTAGTTTTACTTTTCAAGTTTCATTCATATTTTTTAAATGTCTTTTATTTATAGGCTCGTATACATCCATTCCATGTTTTAGTTGCATTAAAAACTTATAAAACAGGACATGGGCTCCGAGGAAAACTGAAGTGGCTTCCTGATGAAGATATTTTGAAAGCATTGAATACTGCATTTTATAAAACATTTAAGGTAATGAGTCTCAGTTTTTTAAAAAAGACATAGTAAAGATGTAATATTATTTAATATTACTAAAATACCATTACTAATACTTGTAAATTTTAGCCATAGAGCTGAAGAATTTTGATTGAAGCATTGATTTTTTTTAGTTAATGTGATTTTCAAAATTTTTCTCCTAAAATTTTTGTTATTGTTTCTAAAAGTAGTTTACCTGCCTGCAGACAAAGTATCATTTGATTTCAAATCAGTTTAAGATACATAATTTCTGTACCATACTGTTCTAACAGTTTACTTTGAAATTTGCCTGACTACTATAGGATATGGTAAAATGTTAGAATACACTTAATATGAAATTAAATTTGTAAAATAGAATTCTGTGTTTAAAGGAATATTGACACAATAAAATGTTCTGTTTCATCCTGGCAACCAGACTTTAGAATAGAGGGAAATCTTTGTTGTGCTTACTTCCATGCCTAGAGAAGGGTAACAAATAATGTCAATTTTTTAAAAAATGTAGTTTGCACATGTAAATATTCCTCTAAAATTTGTCCTCATGAGATGCTGATTTAAATGCCAGCACTAAAATGCAAAATACTGATTGGCTAATCCAAATTTAATACTGATAAAATTATCTGATCACAACAAATTAAAGTTTTCAAATTCAGAGGTGAAAATATAAATCAGTGCTTATGAACTCAGTTCTGCAGTATTATCAATGTGGATCTCCCTCCATTGAGGTAGACTGTAGCTCTTCCATTCCTATTTACACTTTGTGACTTTTCATCTTCTCTTATAGTAAGTTTGAGGGCACCTAAGATGCTTGAGACGTTTCCTTTCCTTCTCTTGATGTTATGGGGACACTAATAAAACATATATGCTTTCCATTAGTTATCTCTCCCTTTTACCATATAACCAACCTATCTTCCTTTTCATGAGCATATTTCTTTGGTGACATCCTTCATACCACTTCTTCATATTGCCTTGTTTATAATTTGTTGTAAACTGTTTACACCAAATGTGCTTCTTCATTGCCCTTTGAGTGAACTTCAGTTTAATTCTTTGCAGCCTGTAGTATTCTGTGACTTGTAGCCGTACACCAGAAAAATAATGATATTAAGAAAGTTATCTTTTGTTTTACAGAAAAGTTTAGGGTCTTTAAAATAGCTTTGCAATTTCACAAAAGCCACCTGACTTTCACTCTTCCTCTTATTCAATTCTGAGCCCAACTTATTTTCTGTTTGTTGTTTCTGGCCAAGAGGTATGTACTAATGGATGAGCTCAACAGCTTTTCCCTGTAACTGCAAACCATAGATTGGACAATAGACATTCTTTATCTGCTTTTGTTTGTGTTTTGTTTTTTGCTTTAGTGAAATTATATAATAATAATGATGATAATTGTATGTTATTTCTTCAGTTTTTTGCATTAAAAGCCCTCTAAGACTTCCATGCTTTCAAGTCTGATGTCTCCTGATAATGAGTAACTGGATTCTTGAAGGATGTGTGAGTGGAACACAAGCCTCTGGCTGGTTGTACCATCCTGGAAAGACTGAATATGAGCCATATGATGAACTCTGTCGCCTGAGAACCAGCCTTGCTAAATTCAGAGAGACTTATTACTAGGTTTGCCGCAGGATGATGAATTTTTTGGCTACAGGAACTCTAAATGACCTTTTACTAAATTGTAGAGAAGTTATAATCTTCTGAGGGTAGCGTGCTCTTACTAATGAAATCATATATTCTTGAAGTATTTAAATATATTTAATTACTTTTCTAAAATATAAGTGTAATATCAGAAAATTTTCCCTTTAATTAGGAAATCAAACAGTCATCTCTAGATATGCCCTGTGAAAGTGCTTTATTGGCAAAAAGATGTTAAATGTGAAATGTTAAGGAAAAATTTTTACAGAGTCTCAGATTTGGAAGGAATCTCAGATATCATATAGTCCAATAGATACATGAATAGGAATCCCCTTCACAATATCTGCCCCAAATGGATCTACCAGCTTTCACCTGAAGAAAGGTAATAACAAGAAACCTCCCAAGAGATACTGTTCCACTTTTGGACAGCTCTAACTTGTTTTTATTTTTTAAAAGAAATTATTTATTTTGTTAACCATTTCCCTGTTACATTTTTTAGTTAAAAATTTTTTTAACATTGATTTTTTAAAATTTTGAGTTCCAATGCAGTTAGGTAGCACAGTGGGTAGAGCACCAACCCTGGAGTCAGGGAGACTCAAATTCAAATCCAGCCTCAGAGACTTACTGGCTGTGTGACTCTGGACAAGTTACTTAACCCTGATTGCCTGCCTAAATAAATAAATGAATAAATAAAGGATAAAATTTTGAGTTCCAAATTCTTTCCTTCCCTCCTGTCCCTCCCCTACTGCTTGAGAAGTCAAGCAATATAATATCCATTATACAGATGAAGTCATGCAGAACATTTTCATATTAGCCAAGTTGTAAAAGAAAACACACAAAATAAACTGAAAAAAGGATGCTTCAATCTGCATTCAGAGTTCATCAGTTCTCTCTCTGGAGAGATACAGATAGCATTTTTCATCATGGATCTTTTGGAATTATCTTGGATCATAGCTAAATCTTTCACAGTTGATCATTGTTATAGTATTACTGTTACTGTGTACATTGTTCTTCTGTTTCTGTACCTTGCATTAGTTCATATAAGACTTCCCAGGTTTTTCTGAAACCATTCTGCTTGTCACTTCTTATAATAGCACAACAATATTCCATCACTATCATATAGCATAACTTGTTCAGCCATTCCCTGATTTATGGGCATTGTATTTCAAATTCTTTACTACCGTAAAAAGGGGTGCTATAAATATTGTTGTACAAATAGGTTTTTGATCTCTGTAGGATGTATACCTAGTAGTAGCATTGCTGGGTCAAAGGGTATATACAGTTTTATAGCCCTTTGGGCGTAGTTCCTAATTGTTCTCCAAAATGGTTAGACCACCAACAGTGTATCAGTGTCCCAGTTTTTCCACATCCACAGCAACATTTGTTATTTTTCCTTTTTTGTTATGTTCACTAATCTGATTGGTATGAGGTGTGGTATCTCAGAGTTGTTTTAATTTACATTCTCTAATCAGTAGTGATTTAGAGCATTTTTTTTTTGAGAGGCAGTTGGGGTTAAGTGACTTGCCCAGAGTTACACAGCTAGTGAGTGTTATGTGTCTGAGGCCAGATTTGAGCTCAGGTCCTCCTGAGTCCAGGGCCAGAGCTCTATCCACTGTGCCACCTAGCTGCCCTAGAGCATTTTTTATGTGACTGTTAATAACTTTGATTTCTTCTGAAAACTGACTGTTCATATCCTTTGATTCATTTATCCTTTCTTCATTTATCAACTAATGGCTCTTATTTTAATAAATATGATTCAGTTCCCTTTATGTTTGAGAAATGAGTCCTTTATCAGAGAACCTTGCTGTAAAAAATTCTTTCCTACTTTCTTGCTTTCCTTTTAATTTTGGCTGCATTGGTTTTGTTTGTGCAAAAGCTTTTAATTTCATGTAATCAGAATTGTCCATTTTACTTCCATGATCTTCTCCATCTCATGTGGCCATAAAGTCTTCCATTATCCATAGACGTGACAGGTGGATTTTTCCATGCTCCCATAATTTGCCTGTGGTATCACCCTTTACATCTAAATTGTGTACCTATTTTGGCCTTATTTTTGGTATAAAGTGTGAGATGTTTTTCTGTTCCTAGTTTCTGCTAAACTACTTTCCTGTTTTCACAACAATTTTTGTCAAGTAATGAGTTTGTCCCCAAGATCTTGGATCTTTGGGTTTACCAAGCACTAGATTACTATGGTCATTTACTGCTGTGGGTTACATACCTATTCTATTTCACTGATTCACCACTTTATTTCTTAGCTAGTAAGAGATTGTTTTGATGATTATTGCCCTGTAGTATAGTTTGAAATCTGGTACTGCTAGGCTACCTTCATTATTTTTTTTTCATTGATTCTCTTGATGTTCTTGACCTTTTGTTCTTACAGAAGATTGGGTTATTTAAGTATTCTATTTCCTCATCTGTTAATCTGGGCAGTTTATATTTTTGTAAATACTCATCCATTTCACTTAGATTTTAAGTTTTATTGGCATTATCTTTGGGCTCAAAGTAACTCCTAATAGTTGTTTTAATATCCTCTTTATTGGTGGTGCATTCACTCTTTTCATGACAGCTCTAATTTGTTAAGAAGTTTTTCCTTACATCAAGCCAAAATTTGTTTCTTTGTCACTTCTACCTGTCTTTCTTATTTGTATTGTCTGAGATCAAGAACAAATCTAATCCATCTTCCATTTATTCAGTCATTCAGAAGTCATTTATTAAGATTTCTTATGTGCCAGGTACTTTACTGGTGATATAAAGATATAAACATTCATTGTCCTCAAATGGCTTGCATTTCATTAGATGAAAATAACCTGAACACAGATAAGTAAAATAGAAAATACAAAGTAATTCTTGGGTTCTTAGACATTAGAATCTAGTAAGTCAATTTAAGCTGGGCCATGAAGGAAATTAGAGATTGTATGATGCAAAAATAAGGAGAGATTTATATTACAGGCAGGGATGTCTCCTGTTTGGAGATTGAATTTTGTATTTGAGGAAGAGCAAGTGGACCAATTTGACTGGAATGTAAAGATTGTAAAGAGATTAATATGCAATAAGCCTAGAAAGATAGACTGGAGCCAGATATTCTAGGGCTTTAAATTGCAGAAGTTGGTATTTTATCTTAAATGTAGGAGGGAAGTATTGGGACTTCTTGAGCAAAGAGTGACAATGGCGAGACCCATGTGTGCTTTAGTAATTTCCTTTGGCAACTGTGCATTTTAATACCTAATTTTTTCGTCTTTTAGACAGTTGAACCAACAGGAAAACGTTTCTTGCTAGCTGTTGATGTCAGTGGTTCCATGGACCAAAGAGTTTTGGGCAGTATACTCAATGCTAGTACAGTTGCTGCAGCAATGTGTATGGTGAGAAAGGCTTTTTTGCATTTTGTATGTATACCTAACCAGGTTGTAAAGCAGTTTTTTTAAATATGATTTGATATGATGATTAAATTAAGCTTTCATTTATTTTCTGATAATATATAGGTACTTTTAGATACTTTTTATGGGGTTTAAGCCAAGTCTTTGCTACATTGACAGAATGCAAATAGAAAGTAGATTATACTTTTTAAACAGTGAGGAATTAAATGTTAAAAATTGCTCATAAAAACTATTTTAATAGATATAGTCTTGGAAAAAGTAGTGAACTAGGACTCAGTTGGCCTGGGCTCTATTACTGATTCTGTCACTGTCTAAATATTAGGTAAGTCATTGAGCTTCTTTAATTTTCAGTATCCTTATCCATAAATAGAGGAAATACTATTGTCCTTATCTACCATTCAGGGATGTTGTTAAGATCATATGAAATCATAAACATAAAAACTCTTTCAAATGTATTAAATTACATATGCCTAAGTTATATATTAGGATGCTTACTGTTTCAACTTAGAGTTTTATGTGCTAATTGATGAACACTTTCTGATTTACTGAAGTTGACTATAATTGGATTTTTCAGGTTGTTGCAAGAACAGAAAAAGATTCCCATATAATTGCATTTTCACATGAAATGGTACCATGCCCAGTGACCATGGATATGACTTTGTGTCAAGTGTTGAAGGTTATGGATGAGGTAGGTAACAGTTTTGTGAATATTTTTGTTGAAGGTAAATATAATTTGCTTCATTAGATCTAGTCCAAGAATAAAAAACGTTTTCCGGTGATAAACAGAAATTCAGTTGTATTGAATTCCACTATGTATAGGGCACTATACAAGGTAATTCAAGTAATGAATAGAGAAGAAAGTTTCTTTGATGAAAATTTTTTCTGCTTTATTTATTTTTTATTTTTTTAAGACTACATTTTCCTATCTCACTCAGGCTGGAAGTACAGGAGTTACTTATAGATGCTTGTCCCACTCTGCTCACCACAGTAGCTTTGACCTCCTCAGCTTCTAGCCTGAATCTCTTCACACTCAGCCTCCCCCTCTTTTAGATCCAACATTCTTAAGGAACATCATTATATATGAACTTAGTGCAGACACCTGATTGGCTTAGCCCACTACAACCCAAGCTCAGGAGATCTTGCTGGCTCCTTACTTTCTGGGGAGGCTGGGATTACAGGTTTGTGCCGCTATGCCTCACTTCTTTGTTTTATGAAATATTGCTTATTTATTTTTATGATATAGAAATAATAGGAAACTGGTCTGTGGAGGATAGATTGAAGTGGGGAGAGACTTTGAGAAAAGAGACCAATTTAAAGGTTGTTGCAGTAGTCCAGTTAAGAAGTAAGAAGAGGCTGAACTAAGGTAGTGACTAAAGAAGGGGATACGTGAGAGATGTTGTGGAAGTAGAAATATGGCAGTTCATTGATTATGTATCCTGAGGGAAAGTGAGGAGACAAGCTGATAATGATAATGCTGAGGTTCATACCTGGGAGCTTGGAAGAATGATGGTCCCTTCACTAGAAATTTGGGATTTTGGCATAGGGCTGGGCTTGTGAAAGAAGATGAGTTCTTAGACATGTTGATTTTTGAAGTGTCTTGGGACAGCTATTTTGAAATATTCATTAGGCAAATTGGTGATGATTAACTATGGCTCCAGAGAGAGACTCAGTACTGGATACATACATATATACATGCACATGCATCTGCTGCATATAAAGCTGATCGCACCACCAAAAGAGTGTGGAGGGAAGAGAATAGGTTCCAGGGCAGAGCTTTGGGATATACCCACAATTACAGTGCATGTTATAAATGATGAGCCAGCAAAATAAACTGATGATTGGTCTGAAAGGCAGGAAGAGAGAACCAGGCTGGAGAGAGTGGTCAGTAGTTTTAAAAACAGCAAAAAGGTAAAGAAGGGTGAGGACTGAGAAAAGACTTACCTGATTTGACAAATTAGAGATCACTGGTAACTTTGGAAAGAGTGGTTTCAGTTGAGTGTTGGAGTTGGAAGCCAAATTGCAAAGAGTTGAGGAATGAGAGGTGAAGAAGTAGAGGCAGTGAGTTTAGATAGTTATTTTCTAAGAGTTTTTCTGAGAAAGGGAGGAGAAATATAAGGCAATAGACTGATGGGATGACAGTCTAGTTAAAGTGTTTTTTAAGAATGAGGAATATTGGAAGATAGGGAATGAACCGATAGGGAGTTTGAAGATTTAGAGACTGAAAAGAAATGAGAGCAGTGCAGGAATCTGCTAGAGAAGATGGAAGGTGGGAACAAGGGCATTTAGAGGGTTTGAGCTTGTCAAGGACAAGGAGTGTATTATCAGACTGGGGAAAGGAGAAGAGAATAAGAGATGATATCAAGGTATTTTGAAATGAAGAGATAGACGAAAAGCTTAAAAAGCTCAGCAGATTTGGACTAGATGGCAAAATTTTCTTAGTAAAGAGGCAGGGTCCTCAGCTGATAAAGTAAAGTTGGAGGAGATTTGAAGAGAGAACAAACAGGGAATGGTTTCTTTGGGGAGGGGAATAATCAAGTGCAAAGAAATAAAAGGATTGCTGATGTAAGAACCTGCTTGAGGTCTAATAACAAATTTCTTTTGTACCTAATTAGCTTAGTTTTTGACTTGTTTCAGCTCCCTTCAGCTGTATGTGAATAGGCATAGAAAAGGCAGATGAATGGGAGTAATCCAGGGTTGGAATTTATCAAGGGATGAGTTTCATTAAGACAGTGGGAGCAAAGGATTCTATAGTAAAAGATAGTGTGGAGATAATCTTGTTAACTGTAGGGTCAAGATATTACACACACACACACACACACACACACACACACACACACACACACACACACACACACACACACACACACACACACACACACACACCCCCTGCAGTTACAATGGTAGGCATTTATGTGGACACCCAGCCCTGAAAAGATCCTTAATGAGTACTTAGGATACCAGTTCGCTGTTGTAGCTCCTACATTTTAATGTGACAGTACTCACTAGAAATTTTTCAAAGTTTATGTAGACAGTATAACAGTATTGTCACAAGAGTCACTACCGTGACCATGGAATTCGTCAAGTCAGCAAGCATTTATTAAGCATACACTCGCTGCCAAGCATGGAGATAAGCTCTGGGAATACAAAGAAAGGCAAAAACCAGACCCTTTTCTTTAACTCACACTCTGATGAGAGAGATAACTTATAAACAACTAAGTACAAATAACATAATTGGGATAAGTTGGAAATAATTGAAGCAATCCAGTGGAGGAATTGGAAAAGGCTTCTTGAGATAGTGGGATTTTAGGTGGGACTTGAAGCTGGGGAAGCCTGAAGATAGAGATGAGGAGGGACAGAATCCCAGTCGTGGAACAGCCAATGAAAATTCCGAGAATTGGGAGATGCGAGTGTTGTGAGAAATAGCAAACAATGTCATTATAACAAAATATGTGGAAGGGTGTCAGAAGGTGTCAAAAGACTGGAAAAGGAAGGAAGGGAGCAGGTTATGAAAGTCTTTGAATGCCAGGAGGTTTTATATTTGATTCCAGAGGCAATAGGTATGAGTTAATTGAGTAAGGGGTGACCTCGTCAGGGTTGTGCTTTAGGAAGATCAGTTTGACAGCTGAGTGAAGGATGACTTGGAGTGGGTGGGAAATGTAGGGTGGGGATACAGACCTGCAGGCTAGTGCACAAGTCCAGGTGTAAAGTGATGAGGGCCTGTTGAAATCCTAGTGGTTAAGGGTGGTGGGGGAGGAGGGGATAAGAGAGATGATAGGAAGGGAAATGTCAGCAAACCTTGACAGCTGATTAGATATGATGTAGGATGAGAGTAAAGAGTGAGGTTTTAAATCTGGGTGACTGGGAGAATGGTAATTAATTAAGTTGTGGATGTGTTGAGTTTAAGATGTCAACTCGACATCCATTTAAGGGTTGTCTAGTATATCAGTAGGCATTTGGAGATGTGAGTCTGGAGGCCAGGAGTGAAATTGGGGCTAGATAAATCTGAGAATCATAAAGGCAGAGATGATCAATTGAATCCATGGGAGGTGGTGATATTTCCAAGTGAAATAATGGAGGGAAAAGAGAAGAGGGTCTGGGATAGAGCCTTGAGGGAAACCCACCATCACTGGAGTGTGACGTGGATGAAGATTCAGAGAGAACGGTGTGATGAAAACCTAGATAGAAGAGACTCTCAAGGGGAAGAGGGCATTTGACAACGTCAGAGGCAGCAGAGGTCAAGAAGCATGAAGACTGAGAAAAAGCCGTTAGATTTGGCAACTAAGAGATCCTTAGTAACTTTGGATGGAGCAGTTTCAGTTGCATAGTGATGTCAGCAGACTCTAAAGAATTAATAAGAGAGTGAGAGAAAAGGAAGTGGAGGGTTATCAATTGTAGAGGACCCTCTCAAGGAGTTTAGACACAAAATTGAGGAAAGCTTCGGGACAATAGCTACTTGGGATAGACAGATCAAATGAAGATTTTTTTAGGGATGGAGAAGACATGGGTGTATTTTTAGGTAGTAGAGAAGCAGCCATTAGGCAGGAAGAGATTGAAGATAAGTGAGAGTGGGGATGATAAGAAGGGCAATCTGCAGTAGAAGATAGGATGGAATTGAATATGAAGCAATCTTATACTGAAAAAAACAAAGCAAAACAGAAGAGTGCTGACCTAACCGTTTCATCTCTTGTCTATTTCTGTCATTTCTTTGGTTTATCTTCCTCAAACCAAATAAAAGAGAGCCTATTGAAATAAGTTTTTCAAAAGTTATTATTCAAAATTTTAGTACATATACTTATACAGAAAATGGGAGAACTATTTTTTCTTACAGTTTTGGTATAAAGACAGTTTTATTATCATGCATATGATACAGGTCATAAATTCATGTATCAAAGTACAATGACAAGTAGACTAAACTGTTATCTTAAATACCACACTAGTATATCCCCTTTGGGCAGAAAGACTAGTTATCTTGAACAACACACTCCAGTTTAGATGCTTAATATATGTATAAATCAATAAGTGAAATGATTCTAAGTTTGTTAGATTTATTTAACTTACTAAGATATTGTCTTATACTTAATGGTCATTTTTTTTTTTTTAGATTCCAATGGGTTGTACCGATTGTTCTCTCCCAATGATATGGGCTCAGAAGACAAACACAGCCGCTGATGTCTTCATTGTGTTCACTGATAATGAGACCTATTTTGGAAGTGTCCATCCAGCTGTGGCTCTGAGGGATTACCGGATGGTAAATTGGATTTTGATATTTTGTCTTATGACGCATAATCCTGAAATGTTAGTATATTCAGAGAAAAATGTATGACAGCATATAGTTTTGCTCAGTTTTGTAGAAAAGAACAGTGGTATTCTAGTAATATTAGTTATATCCTTAGAATTAGGAAGGTATAAGAAAAATTATTGGACTGATAAATTTTTAAAATTTTAGCTATTCCTAAAGCACATCACTAGTAACCCTTAGAACATATATTTCTAAGAATAGGGAGAAAAAATTTATGTGCAACTCAACTGGGCTTATTTTAGTCATTTTAAGGTGCTTGATAAATTCAGGTAGGATTTCTGAACTGTTAAGGCTTACATAAAACCAAAGCAGCAAGTATAAATTACACTGATAGGCGGTGCAGTGTTTAGAACACTAGACTTGGAGTCAGGAAGACCTCCAGTCTTAGACACTAGGTATGTGATCTTGGGCAAGTCACTTAACTGTTGTTTGCCTCAAGTTTCCTCAGCTGTAAAATAGGGATCATAACAACATCTACCTCCTAGGGTTATTGAGAGTATCAAATAAGATATTTGTAAAGCACTTAACACAGTGTCTGGCACATAACAGGCACTTAATAAATATTTATTCACTTTCTTGCCCCCTTCATTATTTAAATGATGATTTAAATGTTTTATAAATAACTCATTTATTTGATGAAGAAAAATCCTTTCGCAACTTAAAAAAGCTGTAGAGAAATTTTTACTCATCTTCTTTTAATGCTAACCCCAGAAGGAACTATAGATCATCTAATTGAAATTCCTCAATATACATGAGGAAAATGAAATAAAAGACCAGAAAATTTAGTGAAATGCTGCCTTTGGATAAAGCATCAAGGCATTAAAATTAAACATATTTGTTAGACTCAGTTCTTTCTTTTAAACTTAAGCTAAAACCTTAAGAGAATTTGCTTATTTCTAAATAAAGCAAGGTTATTATTGAAAACATAAAAAACTTATGCCAAGATATTATAAGGGATATTTCCCACTGTTACATAATCAAAATTTCGGAACTTTGACATGGTATTTTCAAAAATATCTAACTCAGTGACTTATCATAGGTTGGTAGATTTAGAACTGGAAGGGACCTTAGAGGCTTTATTAAATCTATGGCAGAGGGGTTTTAAAGTAGTTAAAATTTCTGTTTTATAGTTAATGTAGAAATTAAATCCATATTTAAAATAATCAAAGTTTTCATCTATTTAATTTTACCCTGTGGATCTTTTTCTTTCTACAGAAAATGGATATTCCAGCTAAATTAATTGTTTGTGGAATGACCTCAAATGGTTTTACCATTGCAGACCCAGATGATAGAGGCATGTTGGATATGTGTGGCTTTGATGCAGGAGCTCTGGATGTAATTCGAAACTTCACAATGGATGTGATTTAATCTTCTGGCACCAGCACTTCACTTCATGTCCATTGCTGGCAGTGGATTTTGCTGCAAAGATCTAATTACCAGCTAAACTTAACTGAAAAATGATAAAACATATCAGAAAGTTACCCTTTTTTCCTTTTTTCAGAAGGAAAGTAAGAAACCTAAAATTACTTTATTGTCTACTATATGTAATTTAAACTGCTAATATTAAACTCAACCAATATTTTATAAAGCACCTACTACTAAACTCACTGTAGAAATTTTACTTCCAACTTCTTAGCAGAAAAAATTTGCATTCTGATGCATTCACAGAAGAATATTTTTGCTTTAGAAAATCATTAATAATATTTTTTAGGTGAGAGCCAAAAATGAAAGTGGTCTCGACATCATAGACTATGTGCCATTTTAAACAATTTGCCTAAGCTCTGTTTAAAATTTCCTGGGTTCTCATTTGAAAAGGATAACTTTGATGATACTTCTATTGTTTGAATTCCAAATACTAAATACACTCTCTGGGTGCACTAGACCATGTAACTGTGATGGAATATAAAAAATGATCTGTAGAGTTTTTTACTTGGGGAGGGGGGAATAAGAAACAGGGGATCATACCAAGAAATTTGAGGAAGTAATCAGAGGACATCTTATCCCCTAAAATAATTTGTGTGATCTTTATGATCACATTTTTAGTAGTTTTCTTACATATTGAAAATCAACTTTAACAATTTTTAATTAGCACTCATAGAATGCAAGGCAGGTAATCAGAAAACAATAGCAAATTCTTTGATTAGCAGCTTTGTATAATTTTATATTTTGATAAAGAATTGTTTTCTAGAGGAAAAACATTTAATAAGTTGCTGTAGGTTATGAGAATATTGAGATACAGAATTGTTTTCTAGAGGAAAAACATTTAATAAGTTGCTGTAGGTTATGAGAATATTGACAAAAATTCACTACAATAATCATCAAAATTAAACTATATTGAAATTTAAAATTAATCCTCAGAAATGAACATTTTCCTACTTTGAAAGTAAATATTTTAAAATAATTATGTTCTTAACCATTATTTTAGCTAATTGCATATTAAATGAATTTTGATTGTCTACAGTGTAAAACAGCCACTATCCTCCTATTGCCAGTTATTCTCTCTGGTAACACAAATTTAGTAAAGTGTTTTCTGGTCACAGAAAATACATGACAAAAGATAGGTCTATTGGTAACTTTTAAATACATTTTGCAAAGGACTTTGTGGTCAATCATTGTTTATGGGTTAAAGCAATACTTCACTAATATCTTCAGGGAAATTTTTTAAAATTGAGTGTGGTTATTAAATTTTTATTTAGTACACCAAAGTATACTAAAGAACAAATATACTCTTGATAGGAAATTTTCTTTTATTTTAAGCTGAAAACTTCATTGTTCCTAATTTTCATGATTATTCCAACAGTAGTCTCTCAATATTAAAACTTTAATTTTTCATGTATTGTTTTTTAAAAATTAGTGTGCAAGAAGTAAAACTAGCAAATACAGATCTTAACTTTCCACTTGCTTAGCCATTAGAGATTTATATGTGTTTGGTGGGGTCAAACAGTATTATTGTATTTTAATATACATAAGTTTTTTGTACTTTTTAGAAAATTTTTTCAGAATAGTAATTTTAGAACTGATGAAGCTGTTATTGCAACCATGACTTCGGATAGCCTGGTAGCAGTTTCAAATTGCTTCCTGCATGAGTCATACTATAGTTTCTTCCATACTTTAGGGATGTATAATTCTATTGGTGTCAGTACCTTCTCCACCAAGATAGATTACAATCTGTCAGTTACTAGGCAGTGTTTGAGAGCTGCCGTGGCTAAAAAATGTATCATCCTTCCTGCAGCCATCCTGGCAGTGAGCGAGATCTCTTCTTCAGCTAAGGTAGTCCTTGTATAGCAGTTTATCACCAGGCAGCTCCTCAAAAGCCCTTCCAGCTTGGTAGAATCTGCCAGATGGCACCACCTAGATTGTGAGACTAAAGGCCACATTTTTAGTAAATCAAACTGTTACCAGATAACATCCTTTTCTCAGAATGCATTGTTACTTCCTCTACTTCTGACATCATAACCAAACTCTAAGATATATTTCTAAAGTATTTGAATTTTTTAGCTTTCTTATCAGATTTTAAGTGATTATATGTTAAGATGTTTTTGATAGCTAAAACTGTCATGCCATCCAGATAGAATTTAAAGAACATTTGATAGATGTATATAATTAGTTATTAAAATTACTTTTTGAGTACAATTTCCTAAGTTAAAAAGTTAGAAATACAGGATGACTGCTCTTTGTAGAAATGTTGAGATAAAGTATAAAAAATATTTCTTTTTTAGTATCTATAAAGTCAACAATCTTTTATAAATATCTTCAGGAAATAATGTCAGAATCATTCAGAGAAATAATTTGTGACCTTGGGAAATGTAACTCTAATTTAAAAGATTATGGGGATCATGATGTAGATGACGGATTCTTTCATTCTTTTTTTTTTAAATTAAAATACCAGAGACATTGTAGAAAACTTATTTAAGCTGATTTTTAAGACCTTGGTTTTTTTTTCCCCCCAGTGATAAAGTTCTTCTGGGGTGTTAGAAACAATATCTATCACTTTGGTTAGTGTTTTAGGAGAGGGTTTTAGAAAAAGGTTGTGTGTAAGTTTGTGGCCAATGCTAAAGGACCATGTTACTCTTACAATTTCCTCACAATTTACGTTGACACAGTTTGGGAGTTGAATGTGTTTATGGGAATGACAAGGTCCTGTTAACTTACCTCACTGTAATAAATATACTAAGGCACAAATACTTTGTGAATCATTTTTAGCTTTACTTCAATTATGAGGGGAAAAAGTTGCTTTTATAATCTCAAATACTACATATTACTGTTATATCCTAATTCTCCATAAAAAGCAAACATAATCTTTCAAAACTGAGGCTGGAGAAGTGGTCTTGGAAAGGGAGAGATAGGAAGTTGATGGCCACCTAAAAGTATTTGAAGAACTATCACGTGGCAAAGGGATTGTGAGATTTGTTTTGCTTGGTCTCAGAGGGCAAATCTAGGAACAAATGGGAAAGTTGCAAAAAGATAAATTTAGGCTTGAGTAAGTAGTTCCTAATATCCTTCCCAGAAATGTTCTACCTCAGGAAGTAGTAGGACCTCACTCCACCCCTTCCCAGTCCCACCTCCCCTTTCCCCACAAAAAGTCTTCAAGTCCAGGCTGGATCATCATTTGTTAGGTAAGTAGTAGATCATAATGCTGTTCAGATAGGAACTCTTATTTTGCGAAGTCGTATAATAAAATTTAGTGCTGGAAAGGACCAGAGAGAGAGTTCATCTCGTCCATCCCTTCCTCCCTATACCCCTGCCTCCAAAAAATTTACAGATGAAGAAATAAGTCAAGTGATTAAGTGACTTGCCACCCTTCCATCACTGAGATTGTTTAATTATTTAATCAACAGAATAAAAACTAGGTTTTTTGCTAGTTCTGCCCTACAGGCTAAATAGTGGGCAGGTCATGGCAATTCTGTTTCATGATTTTATAATAAATACTTAGGCATGTAATTTAGTATTTTTTGTAAACATTATTATTTTGTAAACATACTTTTGATTTAGGGATATTAGATAATTTTGTTTAGTTAACGATAGCTTTTATTATATGTCTCTGGCATCTCAATTGCTTCATGACTGAACCACTTTACAACTCAGTTCTCCAGCTATAGAAAAATGTAACTTGTACCTGAAAAGGGTTTGATCTTTATCAAGCACTTTGAGAGTCTGGGGAATCTACTCAAGTGGAATCAGGGACTCAAATTTTGATTGAGGGAAAATCCATCAGAAAACATTTGACCTTTTGATTTTAAAATTTATTCTTTAAACTGCAAATTATTTTAAGGGACTTTAATCTTCATTTCATAACATAATTTTTTGCCGTGATAACAAAAATTATGCAAAATTGAGAAGGAGTCACAGGATGTGATCTTTTATCTTTGGATGATACACCAGAATTTTTGAATAAAGTTTAGGATCTGACACTGAATATAAAGATTAATATATTTTAAAATTAAAATTGTTCTCATCTGTGGTTGAATTTGAATTTAGCTTAAAGAAGTTATAGTTAATAATCCATAAATGTACGACTAGCTTAGGAAACTAGTGAAAAGGCACTGTTTATCAACAGTGTTTTCATATGACATACATTTGATAATGTGGTAAAGGCACTATAAATATAAAAATGCAATTACCATGTTTAAAAATGTATAAATTTCAAAAACAAGTTTAACCATATAAATAATAATCTTGTATTTATTGTACATACTTCTGGTCTTAGGTAGCTAATTTCCCACCCTTCATCTTTTCTACCTCTTAGTAACACTCTTATCTTACTACCCCTCCTTCTTATAATTTCTTCTCTCATAAAAAAAAAAAAAGTAACATTATTTCCCTTTTGATATCTTATTCCAATCCTGCTCTAGTGGGGTTATGCACAATTGTAATGTAGTACATATGAATCAGAAAAAAGTAAATTTTAGTTTTGGCATGTTTATTAGTTTCTTTGCTTATAAGACTATTCTTTAAATGCCTTAAAAATTTAAGATTTTAATATTTAGTTTTATACTAGCAATATCTGAACAATGTGCAAATCTACTGGGAAAAAACCTGAACCTAATAATATCTTATCCCTAAAGCAGTTGTGATAGCAGTTCATCCTATAGAGTGCCCAAAATGTCTTTAAGATCAAATAGTCTTTAAGTAAAAAAATTAGAGCCAACCGTATAAGAACATTATTCTGCCCTGGAAGTAGAATTACTTGAATAGGTCTTCTAAATACATGGTATTTTAAAATTCTGTGTTCTCATTATTAGAGTCAATAAAAAATTTGCATAAATACTAGAAATCTCAGTCTGTTTATACATTTAGGGCATAAGAAAATCACATAAGCAAATAACTTTTATTCAGTCTTCATACTTTTACAAAGTACCAAATCATTGGATTTTCTTTCAGAAAAGATTGTCTTAATCATGTGTGACTTTTTTTACATGGTAAACTGACAAGGGAACAAGGGCATTGTTAACTCTACCTTCTGGATAAATGTGTAGTAAGTTACTTTTTAGTAAACATTGAAAATATCAAATTGTACTAGAAGTTTTATAAGTAGTAAAGAGGATAATATAAATTGTGGGAGTTAAAGTTGGTAAATCTGTAACTGACAGTTATGATCCAATTCTCTATGAAACTGATGATGAAATTGTGTGGCAAGCTAGCAATGTAAGCTATTGTTTCTGATACTGGAAAGCAGGTAGATGTTTTCTTCTGCTTCCACAGCTGTGGAGTTTCTGCTCCACTTAGAACCTACACCAAAATAACTTTGTAACCAACCAAACAAAAAAAAAATACAGTAACCATATATTCTTTTGATCTTTTAAAAGTCAGGGTAGTAGGGTTTGATATTGATATATAAGGTCACACGATAACTGTTGGAATATGCAAGTTAAGAACTAATTCAAAGCCTTTATTAAAGTTTTGAAATGAAAACTTGTTAAGTTTTATTCATTTATAAATGGGAACTATTTTGGAAACTCTATGGCCCTATAAAGGACAAATTACAGTTGATGTGTAGTATAACTATATTGACAGACCTGTGTATTTTTGCTGCATTAAGTAGTCCTGAATAGTGTACATACAAATTAATGTAATAACATGAGTATACATGTACATGTCATAGTAGACACCTGAAGATCATGCTTTTGAGTTTCAGCTCTTTCACTACCGGTCTTATAGTGTGAGGTCTAGGTAATACAGAAACTATAATCTAGTTTTGTGAAAGTAATAGTTGTATGCTGTATAATAAGGCATTGCTTTCCAAAATCTGTCACTTTTGCTGTTGTTGTGTTATGACAAGTTTATATAAAGTAAAAATTCAGATATTTTTAGAGTAAGTAGAAGGCTTAAAGTGGAAATCTCAACTTTTGCTGCCTTAAAGTGTCACACTCCAGTACAAACAAGTATACAGGGTCTCAGTATTACCATATACTGCCTTAAAAATGTTGCACTAGTATTTCTGAGGTATAGAACTTCAGCAAGTTCTTTTAAACTGAGGCTCTCTAGTTTTGTATAATGACTGCAAGTAAACTTTAAATTTAGAAACTTTGTTAGTTTAATTACCCTTTTATCAGGCAAGCATGGGCACTTTAGTGTTTTGCATATACTAGTGAAAACATGGGCACCTGCCCACCCTCAAATCTGATTTGTATAAAATACTGTATTCCTGGTGAAAAGATCAGAAAGCAAGGTGATGAAAAAAGTAATGAATATAGACAAGAATGATGATAAAAATTACTAGAATTTTTGTTTTGAGTTTCAGGAAATTTTTAACTTTCATAGTAAATACATTTTATACAGTAATTTTGTATATTTTTGTCATTGTATACCTGGGCTTTTTTTCCCTTTCAAAAATCTCATTTTAGGAAGGTGCTTCGTATTTATATCTATAACAATATTCTTTTAACACATCTAGGAACATTTTTTTTACTGCTTTGCATAATTCTAAATAACCTAAACAGAATATCATTAGATGACCTATTAGAATCATGTTGTATTAATAATAACCCTGTGTATGGGACATGTCCTTTCTAGAAGCTTATCTCCAATTAGAATGAATTTTAGAAAGCCAGGTTAGTAGCATTTGTTCCAAATTACTTGTAGAAGTCAGCATATAAAAAAGCATACATTCCAGGTATGTGACTGAGAGAAACCTGTACTGGGAAACAAAAATCAAAGTAAAATGTAACAGTTGCAGTAAAAAATCTAGGCCAGTGGTTTGGTCAGTTACATACCTTTTAAACTTCACTGTTTTTCAAAGTGGATATAGTTTTTAATATTAGAAGAAAGGTTAGCCATACACAAACACAATCCTGACTTAATAAAATTAAGGTACATATATAGATTGTAAATTCTATAGAAAGATTTTTCCTAATTCTGCTTACTAATACTTTCTAAAATCTTTGTAGTTTCCTCTGTATATAAACTTACCATATATTGACTTTTTCAAGGAAATGTATATGTGTATTAATTGTGGTATTATGGAATAATTCTTCAGCTACTTTAGGGCTTTCACTTCCCCTCACCTCTCCTCCTAAGCCTTGAGTGGATAAACACAACAATGAATAAAAATGATTCTTTAGAGACTAAGGCAAAAAACATTCAAACCTTTATGAGATGCTACTTGATGGCATACTTACTGTAGAACCTGAACAATGAATAAACCGTATAAAATTGTCTTTTTACTTCTCATAAAATATTTATAGTACTTAGTATTTTAAACACATTTAAAATGTGTTTTATAGAAAGGGTAACAGGCCCTTGCAAAGCAATTCTTCTCGTTAAGAAATTTGAACAGATGACACGCCAGAGTTAATGTTTAATAATTATGTAAGTCATCTAAAACCTATCTAAGAATTCCACTGGAAAATGTGGCTTGGGACACCTCTTTACCGTGCAGTCATGACTGACTATCCAAGGGTGAGATTATGGGTGTGATGCATAATGAAGATGCAGTTATTAACATTGGCATATGACACGAGTATGAGTTCTAAAGACAAAAGTGGCTAAAATGTAGATTCCTTTGAGGGAAAAAATGTTTAACGAAATAGAGCGAAGCGGCTGTGAAATATGCTTACAGCAATAACAAAAAGCTCACCACTTCAAACAAGAATAAACCATTACCTGTGGGCAAATAAACATTTTGGGATTTGTGCCCAGCTAACTTTTTCCAGAGTTTATGGTAATGCAGCTGACCCACGGAACCAGAAACTAGGCCCTAAAACAACCCTTTCAATTCTTCAATTTCCATTCTGGGGCTCATGACCCTACTGAGTGCCTGCTTCACTTTAAATGCACACACACACCACTACCTCCTCTCCATCTCACTATCCACCCTTGGTACACTGCATGCCCACACCTTCCTGCTCTGCAGCTATCATCAAGTCATACTCTTTCTGCTGTTGGAAAGGGTGTGTCAGTGTACTCCGACTCCCCAAACTCAAATATCCCTATCTAGCCATTAAGCAGCATACGAACTGTTTTTTTCCCCTGGTAAGCTCTGCTTCTCTTTTGTCTTTTATCTTAGTGCTTAGCTTTATTCCACAGAACTTGGCCAACAGTAAGCAATTAAATACTTTTTAATTCATTTAACACACTGAATAATACTCAAATTCAGGCTAATTTAATTCCTTTAGAATCCCATCGCTATAGTTCTACGTTTTAGTTACAGCTAACGATACTATGAAAAGAGAAGAAATTAAGACTGCAATTTTCTTTATGAATAATCAGCATCCTATATAAAACATTAAAACTACTGAAGGAATTCTGACCGTGTACTTTTATTTTTGAATACATGATTGAAACCATTTTCCCCAATATACAAACTTGACAATATGGTGGGGTGGAAAGAGTGTGCAAATTGGTCTCCTAATAGAAATCCCACAATGTAGGTTTGAATCTCATCTCCAAAATTTAGCTGTGTGACCATAAGCAATCATTTTACTTCCCTGTACCTCAGTTTCCTCACCTGTAAAATGGGTTATATTTGCACTACTTTATCCCTCAGTCTTCTGAGATATCATCACCTGATATAAAAGTCAGTTACTCATCACATTTCCATCTTATTGTTCCTAGACTTTATTATTAGAATTTTGTATTGGTAATACTTTCTTCTTTTCTCAGAAGAGTACTTCACTTCTCCCCTCCAACTTTCCCAACTAACATAGTTTAGGTAAAAGCAAAGAAAACATTGGTAAGACGGTGAATGAAACACATCACATTTTTGAGGAATAATATCCCCTAAGCTTTACCTCTTACAACATAAAAATTAAAATTATAATGGAATAAGATCTTGTATAATGAAAAAAAAAACACAGTGGCCCAGGAGGCAGGACACCTGTATAACAATCTAAAATAGCAGGATGACCTTAAGCAAATCATAAAAGCTCCCTGTTACCTCAATAAAGGAGCTGGAAGAGACTTACCGGGGTTTCAACTCTTAAAATTATGATAAAACGAATTTAAGAGATTTTGTAACTGTAAGGTATTGATGTTGTAGCATTCCCACCCTCAACACAACACACATATACTCTCTCTCTCTCTCACATGGGAGCCAAACAAAGTAGCAGAGAGAAACAGAAATGTCAGTCTTGCTTAAGGTTCATGTAGACCAGGGGTTCTTAACCTTTTTTGTTTCATGGAGCCCTTTGGCAGTACAGCGAAGCCTATGGATCTTTCTCAGAATATTGTTGTTTTACATTCATAATTGGAGGAATTGCTAAAATTTTGTTAGAGGTTAGTGAAAATAAAAATAATGTTTTTTTCCAGCCACATTCACAGACCCTACCACCCTGAAATCTATGAAGAGATCTGTGGACACTAAGTTAAGAAGATTTTTATTAATCTGTAAGGCAAGAGTTGAAATGAAATGAAAGTTCAGGAATAAATGTTGCCAAACCAACTGTTCTTATAAAACATACTAAGCCTGGTAGGGAGCATTAAGACCCACCTGATACAGGTATATTATATGAAAATAACACTGAAATTAACAGCTGCTCTTGTTCCTACTCTTAAGAGTTCAAATGTTGAGATTTTCTTCAAATTGCACGAATATTGTAAAATATAAAATTAGGTTAGCTTTTTAAAGAAATTTACGGTTTTCAAAATAAGGATGTCTAGCATTACTGCTTTTGAACCAATGGCATAGAACAAAATCCCTCATCCATATTTAGTAATTATAGCAAAAGCTGTGGTGTTTTAACAGTTTTTCCTGGAATATTGAGAGTTCTTAATATCTTGATCTTTAGTAGTTGAGTGCTTTCTCATCTCCTTCAAATTATCATACACAAATATGCATTATTTCCCCAGAAAAATGTAAGGTCCTTAAAAACAGGACCTGTTTCATTTTTTTTGTTTTTGTACTCCCAATATCTAGTACACCATGTTCCAAGTAATAGGTCTTATTAAATGCTTGTTGGACTGGACTATAAAGTTCAAAGAGTCTCAGTGTTTTCTGTGTAGTGCGTATAAATTTGAGGGGGAAAGAAAAACTTGCTAGGAAAATCCTGATTACTCTGAGCTGCCACTTTTTAAATGGAGTATTAATCAGAGATACAGAAGCCTGTATCTTTTTCTGTGAAGGTATTTTCTCCCTCTGGATTCTCAACCATCCTGGCATAAATACGTGTAGCCAACTCTTCTCTAGATGTCACATAACCTAAAACAGTAGTACCCTACCCTGCACAAAGCAGACACTGAGTAAACTGGTACTAATGATTTAAGAGACTGGAGATAAAACTTGATCAACATAGGAAGTGATTAAGACATGCTTTTCCTTATTTATGTTGTAAATT